CAGTCAACAACACATAGTACCAACGTGCCATGTGTAAGCCACCAGTCAACAACACATAGTACCAACGTGCCATGTGTAAGCCACCAGTCAACAACACATAGTACCAACGTGCAATGTGTAAGCCACCAGTCAACAACACATGGTACCAACGTGCCATGTGTAAGCCACCAGTCAACAACACATAGTACCAACGTGTCATGGGCCATGTGTAAGCCACCAGTCAACAACACATAGTACCAACGTGTCATGGGCCATGTGTAAGCCATCAGTCAACAACACATAGTACCAACGTGTCATGCGCCATGTGTAAGCCGCCAGTCAACAACACATAGTACCAACGTGTCATGGGCCATGTGTAAGCCACGGCCACAGGTCAACATAGTGATAGTAAGAACATGTTACGCCTTGTTTTCCCGAACTCCATGCGGTGAAGACTATCCATCCCTGACTCCGAGGCACAAGTCGGGATCAACAGATTGCAAGAAGTCATCTCAAATTTGCGTGAACTACTCCTGTCGTAATTTTAAAAAAGTCCCTAAGCTCGTAGACTGTTTACTAAAGTAACTTAAACATTTCAGTGGTTTAGAATGGAAAAAAAAAAAAAGTCTGTACGTGTCTATAAGCAATGGGAAGCTGGTTTGTTTGTTAGCAATAGGAAGGTCGTTTGAGTTATAAATATTAGGAAGGTGGTTTGTATTTCTAGCATTGGGTAGCTGGTGTCTGATGTAGGCTATGTGTGTTTAAACAATAGGCCTACAGGCAGTCCTACACCCTACCTGCCGGCCTTTAAACGATAGGCCTACAGTCAGTCCTACACCCTACCTGCTGGCCTTTAAACAATAGGCCTACAGGCAGTCCTACACCCTACCTGCCGGCCTTTAAACAATAGTCAGTCTTACACACTACCTGCCGCCCTTTAAACAATAGTCAGTCCTACGCCCTACCTCCCGCCCTTTAAACAATAGTCAGTCCTACGCCCTACCTCCCGCCCTTTAAACAATAGGCATACAGACAGTCCTACACCCTACCTGCCGGCCTTTAAACAATAGTCAGTCCTACGCCCTACCTCGCGCCCTTTAAACAATAGGCATACAGACAGTCCTACACCCTACCTGCCGACCTTTAAACAATAGGCATACAGACAGTCCTACACCATACCCGTGGCTCTTTATTGATTACCGGTAATATAATAGTGGCCTCCCCCAAAATAAAAACAAAAGCAACCAGCGTCACAATCTTTTTTCACTCAGTACTATTAATATAAGATATAAGGAGTTGGAGTGGGGGCGGTTTTGAAGAGGAAGCAGGACGCACCAGAAGCAAAGAAATATATAAGTATAAGAGAAGAGTTGGGAAGTTTGTTTTTGTACATAAACCATGGGAAGTTTGTTGGTCGTTATAAAGAGGCTATAAGGTGGTTCGTGTTTAAACCATGGGAACTTGGTTCGTCTTTATAAAGAGGCTATAAGGTGGTTCGTGTTTAAACCATGGGAAGTTTGTTGGTCGTTATAAAGAGACTAAGGTGGTTTGTATTTAAACCATGGGTATTTGTACCTTTAACTTTAAATCTAAAAAATTTAATCCTGATAACGGTAAATATCTCTACAGTTGTCTCTGTTTGCATGCCCCACTCCCCCACCCCATTAAATTGTAAAGAGCATCATCAACAGTTGTCTCTGTTTGTATGCCCCCCCCCCCAATTAAATTGTAAAGAACATCATCAACAGCTGTCTCTGTTTGTGTGCCCCACTCCCCCCCCCATTAAATTGTAAAGAGCATGATCAACAGTTGTCTCTGTTTGTATGCCCAACTCCCCCAATTAAATTGTAAAGAACATCATCAACAGCTGTCTGTTTGTATGCCCCACTCCCCCACCCCATTAACTTGTAAAGAGCATCATCAACAG